AGGGGCCTCGGAGAAGAGCTGGCGTAGCCCTGCCTGCCGGCCTCTTATCTAACAACCCTCTTAGCTCTCCAGGGGGCTATTCAAGAGTTGACGACTCGCCCATGGAGCGATCGGGCGACCCCGCGAGCGACCACAATATTAGACATGCTCGTCTTCGGCGCCGAGCCCAACGACTGCGACGCGAACGCGGCGCCCCAGCGCACCTCTTCAAGTCCAACTTCTACAAGGTCGTCATTGAACAGCTGAACTCACACACGCCCTTCGACCAGCTATCTGCTCTTGGCTAATCGATGGCGCTAGAGGAGAACATGTCGAATGCTGACGATCAGATTCGCGATGCGCTTGCCCACTTGCTTCTTGGCGTGCCGAAGCGCGAACAGCGTGACATCTCCAAGGAAGTGAAAGCATTGTCCGCGCCGCTTGGATTAAGATACCAATTTGGCGCAGCTCCCGGTTCAACACTCTCATCTTGGGGTCCCACATTTTCGCCTCCACCATGGCGTGCATCCCCATCCGCAAGACGGCCGCACTCTTACTGCACTTCCAGATGAGTCCGCCGCCGAGGCTGCCAGCGCGCCGCGCCCGAGCTGCCGCTCGCGCCCGCGAAGGCATCTTGGAAGCGGGCGAGCCACGAGCAACGTCGATGGGGGGCTCTTGGGAACCTTTCGCCAAGCGCTCATCCACTCGCTGGTGCCCGCACTACGCAGGGCGACATCCACGCGATAGTGCCGGACCCCATGGACTTGCGCAGCGCGATCCAGACTCGCGGGGCCCCCCTCTTCGCGGCCGTCTTCCCTGCGAAGCCCATCGCTGCGTTAGAGATCCATTCCAAAGACGACTTCCAGGCAGCGGCCAAGGCTGCCGCGGACCCGGCCCCTGGGCCCGACAGCCGGCCGTCCTCGCCGAGCTCGTGCAACAAATCAGTACTGGTGTTCGTATCCCTCGCGACATGAAAACGACGCGCTGCTCGTCATGCTCCCGAAAGGCGAAGATGCGGCCGACCAATTGGCCTGCGCGAGGACGCCAGATCAGCCTCGCCCGCTCGCGATGACGAGTTCGGACATCAAGATCACCGCCCCGGCCGCCAACCGCAAATCCACACGCTAGTCAAGCAGGTTTCCGGCATTCCACGCAGCTTCAGCCGTCATATACCCGAAAGGGTGGAGAAGGAGGAGGAGGAGGAGGAGGAGGAGGAGGAGGAATCGTCGTCGTCGGAGGAGGAGGAGGAGGAAGAGGAGGAAGAGGAGGAGGAGGAGGAGGAGGTGGAGTAGGGCGAGGACGAGGAGGACGAGAAGGAGGGAGAGTCGGGTACCTCGGGGATCCTCTTGAGGCCTCGTCTGGGGTGTCTTGGGGGCCTCTTGGAGGCCCCTTGGGGCCGTCTGGGCGCCTCTTGGGGCCCTCTTGGGGCGCTCTTGGGGCGCTCTTGGGAGCTTTAGGGGCGCTCTTGGGGCCATCTTGGAGGGCATCGAACAACAAAAAGAGGGAAACTCCAATTAGCCCCCCCCCCCCCCCCTCGGGAGCACCGAAAATCGCTTGGAGCGCTCTTGGGCGCTCTGGAGGCCGTCTTGGGACTCTCTTTGGCCTCCCCTGGGGCTCTTCTGGGCCATCTTGGAGCCATCTGCAGGCCTCGGATGGCCATCGGAAGCGAAAAAGACGAGAAAGCAAAAACAAAAAAATAGATTGTCCTTAGGTTTTGGAAGGATTTGGGTTTCTTGGAGGTCTCGGAGGCGTCTTGGAGCCGTCTTGGAGCGTTCTTGGGACCTTTTGGAGCATCTTGGGAGCCGACTTGTGAAGCATTGTGGGCTATCTTGAGCCATCTTAGAGGTCATCTTGGGCTCTCTGAAGCCCTCTTGGAACCATCTTCAGCGAAAAAGTACCCTCTGCCACCTTGCGGGGCACCCCGTCCAGGTCCAGGGGAGGGGCATGGGGGAAGGGGTAAACCGCTCCCCGAAGGGAAGGAAAGGTGTCGGAAGAGGAAACTCCCTAGACCACCTACGCCCAGAGGGCTGGTGGGATTGACCAAGGGCCTCCATCCTCAGGGCCTCCATCCAAGGGCCTCCATCCTCGATTTCACCACTTTCTGTCGTCTCACGGGAGTGTAGCCAGGCTTGCATTGCGCGCGCGCATCTGTCTGCTTGTTCTGCTCGCTGCGCAGCATGGGTGGAATGTTTCAGGCGAGGAGCTTGTCCCCTTGGAGGTTCGGCGCCCCTCCTCGGGGGCGCGTGGGCTGCAGCCGTGCCTGGCACAACAGATCCTCCTCCTCCTCCTCCTCCTCTTCCTCCTCCTCCTCCTCCTCCTCCTCCTCCTCCTCCCCCCCTCCCTCCTCCTCCTCCTCCTCCGGGCGGGGGGGGGGGGCGACGAGGAGAACATGGAGAGGGGCCTCCCCCCTACCCGTCCACCCCTTTCCCTTCCTGCAGGCCCCCTTTTTCCCGCATTCTCCCCCCCTTTCGGTGGCGCGAGCAATTCAAGCTGGCGTTGCAGTTGCCAGGCCCCGTCACTCTAAGCGTCTTGGCCAGGCCACCAGAAGGGCCTGCCGAATTAATAAGTTAGCTGCCGTGGTTCATCGTAAGATCGGGGCGCGTTTGATCCTCACTGGGGCTGTGCCGCAGGCTTCCTACGCCTGGAAGGCTTTTGGGGTCGCGCCCTCGGTCCTTCAGAAGTGGCGACGGGCCTTAGCCAGCAGCTTAACTAGAGGCCCAGCAGGGCGCTGTCTCACGACCTTGCTGGCCCCTGAAGTGCGGAAAAAAGGACCCTGCCTTCACGACTGTTCTTCAATTGCTGGATTCGTGGTTTCAGATTGTTGCAGCTTTGCCAGTAAATGGAGTTGCTCGCATGCGTGCTTGCCGGGCTGCCACGGTTGAGCGAATCGACAGTCTGGGACCCCAGCAAAGATGGCATAATATAAAAGGACCTGTCTCGGCTGCGGTCGCTACCATGACGGCTCTGGGATGGAAGCTCGAGGGCCCTTGGTCGCGGGTTGCTCCTGGGGGTGATGTCTTTGCTGTTCCCGACGAGCTTCGCTCCCAGGCTTATATGACGTCGGATTTTAAAAAGGAGGTGGACCGTAGCATTGAGGCGCGTTTATGGTCTGTTGCTGCCGAGTTCCGCAATGAAGGGGGTCTTGCATCAGGCGTCGACCTCACGGTCTCGTGGCGGCACCTTGCTTCCTTGCGTCAGAAGTCGCCTCAGAAAGGGGGCCTGTTGCGCGCCGTGCTCACGGGAGCTGTTTGGACGAGAGCTCGCATCCAGGCCTCTGGAGGGGAGTGCGAACTCACCTGCCCTCGTTGTAACACTGCCCCTGAAACGGACATTCACCGTTTCTGGGAGTGTCCGTGCAATGCCGAACTCCAGGAGATTGATGAAGCCTTCGCGCGAAAGGCTGCCTCTGTCGCTGGTGAATTGCCGTGTTTTTGGCTTCGCGGTCTCGTGTCCCGCGATTGGACGACGGTCCCTCTGCCTCCCGACAACCCGACCCTCTCTGCCGCTGGTGTGTTTCCTGGGCCTTTTGGAAGGAACTCGCATCTGGGGCGCTGGGGATGCGAGCGGTGGGGAGTTCACGAGGGATAAGCGTCTGGGGCGGGTGTCTTGGGGCGTCGCGGCTTTCGGCCATGATGTTTTAAACCTCCCCCCCCCCCCTCGTGTCGGATGCTGACATCAAGTTTTTAAAAGAGGGGCATTGTTGGCAAGCAGTCAGTGAACCGAGGAGAGCTCTGGGCCCTCTTGGAGTTCTTAGAGGCTGCGTGCGATCAGGTTTGTCTGGGTTATATTGCGGACTCGGCGTATGTGGCCCGAGGGTTCGCTCGAGTCCAAGCTGGCCTTTTGAAACGAGTTCAAATCCATGTTGACCTGTGGAGCCGTGTCCAGAGTGCTTTGGATCGGCATGGTGATGTGGTTCTCATTCAGATCCCGAACCACCTCAAAGTGGAGGATGCCACCCGTCGGGGGCTGAACCCTGGAGTTTTGCTCGCGAATGCGGTGGCTGATGAGGTTGCCAGCCACTTCGCGAAACTTGTCCAGGTCCCTTATGGTCAGTCGGCCCCCATTCGTTTTGCGGACGGGTTGGCTCGGAAAGTACAGAATCATCTCGTCTCTGTCATGTCTGACGCCCTTGAGCGTGAGGGCAGGCACCCTCCCCGCCCCCCCAAGGAGAGGGTGCGGAGGACGGCCAGACAGCTCTTGAGGACAGCGGCCGCGAGGACCTCCCATCAGTGCCCCTTGATGTGTGGGGATTTCTCGCGGTGTCAGAAATGCGGGTGTAGCTCGGCCGCTCGAGATTTGACTGTGTTTTTAAATTCGCCGTGCACTCCAATGGTCTGGTCGGGTTCGGTTTTTCGTTCGTCGGCTTCGGTTTGTGTCAGGAGCCGTTTAGTGGACCCCTCCCATGCTGTGGCTTATTGGCCAGAGGCCAATGTTTTGTGGTGCCTCACATGTGGAGCTTACTCGACCCCAGAGACCTTGCAAAGGAGTGTTCGGGCCGCCTTGAGAAGGCGGAAATTCAGAACCTTCAGAGGACTGCCCAGGGCAAGGTCCCTGGGAGCCTGGCTTGGGGGAAGGAGCGGAAGGAAAGGGCTGCGAGGGAGGGGGAGAGAGAGAGAGAGAGAGAGAGAGAAAAAACAAAAAAAACAAAAAAAAAAAAAAAAAAAAAAAACGGCGAGCGCGGCCCCGCGTGCGCGGCGCGCGGCGCCGTTCGGGGACGTCGCCCTCGCGGCGGACCGCGTGGCGGCCGTCGCCATCAGGCGCCGCCCAGCCTCTCTCCCGCCCGCCGCGGGCCCTCCTCCGCCTCCTCCTGGTCCCCCGTCAACCTGAGTGGCATAGGCTGCCTCTCAGGTTGGCCCTTTTCCCCTGTCATTGATCATCATGATCGTTCGCTATAAAACTCCTCCTCCTCCTCCTCCTCCTCCTCCTCCTCCTCCTCCTCCTCCTCCTCCTCCTCCTCCTCCTCCTCCTCATTCTCCCCCCTCCCCATTCTCCCCCCGAAAGTGCCCCCTCTTCTGCCCAAGGATCGAGCAGCCTCGCACATGGGCAGACAACGGCCGCAACCGCTGGCCAGCCAAGTGCCTGGACTCGCGCCCTGTGGAACCCGTGGCCCTCGGGGTGCTGAATTGCAGCCAG